GAAAGACTTTTTGGAGAGCCATCACTTTCACTGTGGGAGGAATCTTCAGACATTTTAAGACAAAAAGATTTTTCACACAAAAATAGTTTTTAAGAAAATAGTATTTTTGGGAAGTGCTTAGACTTGGCACTTGGAGGTCTAAGAGTACAAATTGAACTTTGGAGGGAGGTGAGCTACTAAAGAGCCACTTAATAACCAAGCCTCTTCAAGTAAAAATCTCTAAACCCCCTTGTACGTTTTCCTTGCACAAAACAATTTTCACAAAGATTTTTTCAAAGAAAAAATAACAAACAAGTGCCTAAAGTGTACAATTAATCAATGCTTGAAAACATAAAATGCTTGAAAACATAAATGGCAAGAAAACATAAATTGCTTGAAAACTTAAATTGCTGAAAACATAAATTGCTTAAAACATAAATTGCATGAAAACTTAAAGACAAGAAAACATTAACTAGGCGTTGAAAGCAATTAAACCTAGGTGAGAGCTTGGAAAGTATCAAAGACTTTCAAGGACCCTCTCACAAGTACTAAACGGATTTACTACTTGAAACACTTAAGGAGAGATGGAGATACACCAAAGGCACTCCAAGACACTCCTTAATAAAGGCCTTGTACAAAAATGAAGAATTAAAAAGTTACAAGAAAATGAAATGCAAATTTACACCAAATGAAATGCAAATTCACACTCAAATGAAATGTAAATTCACACCAAATGAAATGTAAATTCACAATCAAATGAAATTAGTGGCTGCACTTAATTTCAAAGAAAAAAAAATTAGCCACTAATTAGAGACAAATTTAGAGATGGATTTTGTAAGGAAAATTGGTTTTGAGACAAAAATTTTCGTCACTAAAATTAGTCTCTAAGGTTCACAAAATTTTTTTTAAAGAAAATTTGTTGCTTCTTTTCTTCCAATTCTAGCCACCAAGGTTGCTGTCCTCTCAAGTGTATCACTCCACTTTTTAGAAGTAGCCTTGATATTGGATACTTCTAGGTGTTTAGAACTCCAAGCCAAAATTCCAATGGAGAATAATCTCTAGATCTCCTCCAAAAGCCTTCAAACTTTGACTTCCTTTGAACTTGGCCTTCCACACCTTCAAGAAGCACTCAACACACCTTAAGTTGCTGGAAATTTAAAGCAAAAACTGAAAAGGAACAATTTAGAAATGGCTACACCAATTGGTGGAAGTAGATGAGACAAGACTAGAAAGAAATCCAAGAAAGACAAGCAATAATTAAAGCACAATTTGAAAAGTTAGCACACAAAAGGAAACCTAACAATGGCACTAGAATAGATCACAAAATAAAAACTAAGATTATAAAGTAAAATAAGATTCAAACATTGTATATGTGGCTGGACAGAAAATTGAAGACAAGGCACACAAAATTTTACCAAAACCGAGAGCAATATTTCACTAAAATTTTCACTTCTTGGCTTTTTCTTGTGTTCTTTTCTTTTGATTTCTTTTGTGAATTATTTTGTTCTTTCTTTTTCTTTGTTAACACAGGAGTCTAATGCCTTTTAATCAAGTGTATGTCTCGGTTTTAACTAATAAAACTGCTGCCAAAATATTTTCACAAAACAAGAGGTGTTCACATGCATCAATCAACGAGTGCTTCTCAATTTTGTAGTATTTTTTTAGGTCAAATTTTAGGCAATATTTTCTTTTGTTTTTCTCATGCAATAAGAACACATACACCTCTATTTTGTCTCTGTTTTGATGCTTTAAAAATTGATACAAGTTTCAGCCACACACAAGACTCAAAGAAACCTAATAGAAATTAGTGTTTAACAAATTTTTTTTACAAAACTTTTAACAAGACATATAGGAAACCTAACTCTATGAAATTTGCTAGAACTAATAGCAAATAATGAACTCAAATATGTAAAGCAAAAGCACATGTAAGTAGGTTCAGCTTTAATAACAAAAATGATGCACCAAACAATGATTCTCAAACAACACAAAAATTAGGTCAAACAAGCTAGTATAGGAGTTTTCAAAATACAAAGGAATACAAATGAATTTATAAGACAAAAAAAATGATTAAAAAATAAAACTAATGGAATATGAATGTTGTCCAATCACGGACACATGTTAAGGAATGGAGAGACTCAAGCAAACATCAAAAAACGCACAAGAACAAGAGTCTTAAAAGCACAGACCGGATTGATTCACAAGAATAGGAAACAAGCAAAATATGAATCAATTACTTCTTATGTGACAAATAGGATCCATCAAGATATGAACAAAATTAGATCCATATAGAAAACACACATTAAGACATAGAAAAGGAAGAGTAGACAACACAGATTCAAGTAGAACAAGTTAGAGACACAAAACTCAAGAGAAAGCTTTGATACCAAAAATGACAGAACTAGGTGAAGACCGGTTGTTGAATCTTCATAGTTCCACCTTCATTCGACCTTTGCACCTTGAGGTTGATTGATTAGAAGCTTGAAACACCTTCGAAGAACCTTCAATGGTGGAGAAGCAACTTGGATGGTTCGGCCACTTCAAGAAGCTTGAAGAAGCTTGAGGAACCTAGTTCAAAGGTTGAAAACCTTTGAAGAAAAACCTAGAGGAGAAGTTCCATGGTTTTAGGGACTTAAGAGAAGAGAGAATTCTAGTAGAATTTCTGAATTCATTCATCAAAAGTGAAGTATTAGGGCAGATTTACGAATATATAGGGAGAGGTAGCTTGTAGTGTAAGCTAACCTTAACCATGGTTCACTAGGAACCATGGTAAGGTTTAGCCTAACCGTCCATGGTTTCTAAAATTTGTAGGAGCAGCTAACCTTGACTAGGTCAGCCTAACCTCCCAAGGTTTAGAAGCTTGGAAGGCAAGCTTCAAAGCTTGAAGGAGAAGACACAAATTCGGCCAAGAACAAGGTAAAGAGCTAGGCGACCAAGACTCAAAAATGCTCACTTGATTTATTTCACAATATTTGATTTGGTTTAGTTAGGTTCATCATATGATGATGAGACCTAGCTAAATCAAATCTATGAAAAATTAGGAGCAAAATGAGTCTACTATGCAAAATTTTGCCTAGGCCCAGTTCTGGCCTAATTACTAGTCATACCCTCAAGCATTGCTAAATGTCACCCCTTTTTCCCTGAAAAAAAAAATGTATCAACAAGGGAGGTTAAATGGAGTTAAACTCTCCAAGTAACCCCCCTAAAATCAATATACAATCACTAATTAAAAGCAAGTAAAGTGTCTCACAAATACAAAGGCAAAATTAGACCTATCCAAAGGAACTATGTACAAAATATATACAATTAGAACTAGGCCTTCTCTTCATGATCGAGTAGTCTAAATGAAGAGTACCTTGGGCTTGAGAAGCCCACTAGTCTTCAAGAGGTCTAACTCGTCTTGTATTCTTCTAGCCATAGCTCTAGTGACTAGGCCCTTGGCCCATGGTCTATCACTATCCTTCGTATACCTTTCTGGAACTTGCCGCAATCATACCACATTTCATTTAGCCTTACTGTAAATCTCTCAGCGGGTCAAACTTTTCTCGGATGTAATCTTCATGTCGGAGCTCTCCAAACTGTCCTTCGTATACCTTTCTGGAACTTGCCGCAATCATACCACATTTCATTTAGCTTTACTATAAATCTCCCAGCGGGTCAAACTTTTCTCGGATGTAATCTTCATGTCGGAGCTCTCCAAACTGTCCTTCGTATACCTTTCTGGAACTTGCCGCAATCATACCACATTTCATTTAGCCTTACTGTAAATCTCCTAGCGAGTCAAACTTTTCTCGGATGTAATCTTCATGTTGGAGCTCTCCAAACTGTCCTTCGTATACTTTTCTGGAACTTGTCACAATCATACCACATTTCATTTAGCCATACTGTAAATCTTCTAGCGGGTCAAACATTTCATTTGGAGAGCTCCGACATGAAGATTATTGGCCTACTTACACTAGTCCAACTTTGTGGCCAAATCCAGAACTCAAGCGAACTTTCAAGGGTCGGCCAAAGTCCAGCAGGATTAAAACAAAAATGGACATTAGAGAACAACATAATCAGTTTCTGCCACCATTAATCTTTATTGTTGTATTGAATTTTAATAAATTTATTTAGATATATTTATAATGTTAATATTCAATAAATTTAATTATTTGATGTTAGTTTCTGAGTTTTGGTATTTAATAAGTAAAAATCGAAAAAAAATATTATTTGTAGGTCAGAACGACCCGTTCCAAAAGCAGAACGAGCCGTTCTGGTTCCACTTTTTATGTACTAATTTTGATTTTGGAACGGTCCATTCTAATTTATTTTCCATGTATTATTTTTTAATCCGGAACGGCCCGTTCTGATTTCAGAATGACCCATTTCGAACGTGAACAATAATTGGTGCTAGTTGGGGAAATAAATTTGCACAATTGTTATTTAGGTAATTTTTTTTTTAAATAGTATTATTTGAGTAAAAAACTCACAAATTTACTTAATATAATGTTTTCATTAACATAAATATTAGTAAATATATTTTATACATTGATATTTGACAATTTTTTTAACAAATTTTAATCATAAGAAATAAATTTTATACAATAATACTGGACAAAATCTCTAACAAAGTGACAAATTCTTTGGAATTATATGATTAAAAAATTTAATTATAAATTTAAAAATTAAAAATAAATTTGTTAAATTTGAGATTTTTTTTAATATTAAAAACCCCAAATATGATCGGTTACCGTAGGAATTTTGTATACCCAAAAGCAGAGTCTCTGTCGGGTACCTGAGCTACTCTCCCTCTGAGCCAGCTCTTTGCTATGAGCTCAATCCCTCACACACACAGACACACTCCATCTCCATGCATTCGTCTCCTGGAGCAATGCTCAAGCATGAGAGAAATGAAGCAAATCCACGCCCACGCCATCACCCACGGCCTCGCTGGCTTCGCCTTTGTCGCAAGCAAACTCCTAGCCTTCTGCGCCCACGCCGAACTCCGCTACGCCCTCACCATTTTCACGCACATCCCCCTCCCCACCGTCTTCGACTACAACGCCATCATAACCGCCTTCTCCCGCCGCCACCACCTCCACCGCGCCGCCTCCCTCTTCCCCCAAATGCTAAACGACGTCGTCCGCCCCAACGCTCGCACCTTCGCCCTCCTCCCCAAAGCCTCCCCCTCTCTCCCCTTCCTCCTCCAGCTCCACTCCCACATCCTCAGGCGCGGCCACGTCACCCACTTCCACGTCATCTCCTCCCTCCTCAGCGCCTACTCCAGCCTCGGAGCCACGCGCGTCGCGCGCCGCGTGATCGACGAAAGTCCCCACGCCAACGACGTGTTGTTTAGCGCAATGGTGTCTGGCTACGTCAGAAATGGCCTCTTCCGCGAGGCGATTGAGCTCTTCCGCGACCTCAAGGCGTTCGTGAAGCCGAACGGGTCCCTCTTGGTGAGTGCTCTCAGCGCGTGTGCAGCTATCGGTGCGTTTGGAGAAGGGAAGTGGATTCACGCCTACGTGGACCGACAACACGGGGTAGAGAAATATGAACTCCACCTCGGAACTGCGTTGATCGATTTCTACACCAAATGCGAGTGCATGCAACCGGCCAAGGAAGTATTCGGTAAGATGAAAACCAAAGACGTTGCTGCGTGGAGTGCTATGATATTGGGCTTGGCTATTAACGCCAGGAACCGCGAGGCGCTTGGGCTGTTTGCGGAGATGGAGAAGGTTGGGCCCAGGCCCAATGCGATTACTTTCATTGCGGTTCTCACTGCGTGCAATCATAGAGACCTGTGTGGTGGTGCCATGAGGATGTTTAGATATATGAGTGAAAAATACGGCATTGTGGCGTCGATTGAGCAGTATGGATGCGTGGTTGATGTTTTGGCTCGGAGTGGGGAAATTGAAGAGGCCTTTGCGTTTGTTAAGAGTATGCCAGTGGAAGCGGACGGAGCCATATGGGGGTGTTTGCTGAAGGGGTGTTTGTTGCACGGTCATGTTGAGTTGGGACACAGGGTTGGCGAGTATTTGGTGGAGTTTGAGCCTGGGCATAGTGGAAGGTACGTTCTTCTGGCGAATGTGTATGCGAGTGTGGGAAAATGGGAGCGTGTTTTGGAGATGAGGAAATTGATGAAAGAGAGAGGTGTGCCACCCGTTTTTTCTTGGAGTTTCATAGAGATTGATCAAACTGTTCACAAGTTTGTTGTTGATGATAGGAGTAGCTCTTATTCCGGAGAAGTGTATCGAGTATTAAACCACCTGGGAAGGAAACTTGAGGATTATTCCAAAGCAAATGATTGTTTTCTGATACCATGATAACCTTCCACCGATCCTCTGGCTTATGGAGGCGGGTTTGTTTGATTGTTTCCGAGGAGTTTGCATTTTCCTCTGGCCCCATATAAGAGAAAAGCCACTCCAAAAGCAAGCCAAGAAACTCAAATGCAGATGATTTGAGTCTGATATTTTCTCTGCCACAGAAGGAGAATGATTATTACTCAAGTAGCAAGAAGGAAGAGGAAGAAAATGATGCTTGCCATGGTTTCATGACTACTACTAGTGAAAGGTTAGAATGTGATGAGTCAATTTGGTTATCCAATGAGGCTTCAGAATACCCTATCCAAGTCCAATCAATATGTTTTAGAGCACGGGGACTGAGATGACACCAATTGCTACTCAAGAACTCAAATGGGTTGCAAGTTTCTGAGAGTGTGGAGGAGGATCAACACGCCCTTGCAAGAGGGTTGAAGGTCAATCTAGAAATTTGAGTCCTCTAGAGGCCGAGCAATGCCTTGGGATGAGGCAGAATGTGCTAATTATATCGCCAGGTGCTTAATTAACTAATGAGCTTATTTTATGATCATATACTAAAAATTAATGAATTAATGGCCAAATTTAGTAATATAAAAATGTTTTTCCTTCATAAATCATGGGGTCGTTGAATTTTAGTGACAGGTTTTTTGAAAGTTACAAATTGATTGTTTTGTTGCTAATTTAATTTTTCTAGTATTACTATAGTTTATTTTCATTATTAAACACTGGCCGTAAATTGTAATCGTTTTTAGAAAAATATTCCAGGCCAGGTGAGTTTTAAATATTTGATGGTTCATGGACCTTAATGTGAATTGTTAAGTGTTGACAAAATTCATGTGATAAAACTTTATTTAGGTTCAACCGTGAAGAGGTGAAGATGCAACCATGGGAGAATCATCAGATAAGAAAAGCTGAAATGGAAATGAAGAAAATGGAGGGTATGATCTTTAATGGGTTTGTTCTATGTCATTCTTAATTAAAATGTAGCATATTATTATTATTATTATTATTAAGATATTCTAAAATTGACACTCCAGAAATTAGATCTTCCCAGTTCCCACAGCTCGTAAATGGTGTTGTAGTATGGTATTGTAGTACAATAATTTTCCCTTGATTTGTTGTCAATGATTTTAACCTTTCCAACGCCGAAGGTGATGGCTAATTTTTTCATGCCCTGGTAGCAGCAGGAAAGCTCATCTCAGTAGAGTTGAAAGGTCTGAGGAATAGACTGAAAAAAAAAAGAATTTTTCCTAAAAAGAAACATGGCATGGCAGGGAGGAAGGGATCTTTTATCTTTCTTATTTTCTTCATGGATTCTTTCCCAGTTCAGGGAATAGATAATATTTATATTTGAAATTCCCTTGAGTTGTCATTAATCCAATGAAATAGCACATAGTCTCTGTAATTGATAGGTTCAAAACAGTGCACCATTGATGTGTAGTGATATATGCTATGTGATAGAACTTCTCTAGGTAGCAGAATTGCATTGCTTTCAGGAGTGGGCTCAAGTTTATGAGTTAAGTTGCTTTTCACTGCGTACAACCATACAATTTACATTTGTACAGATGCAGATTTAGTTGTGTATGTGGGATTATTATTATCTCACACAAAGCTTAATCAATATAGGTGTAATATTTGGGAAAAATGAAATTATTTGGCTGACATGGTGTGTTATAATTAATAGATAATTATGTCCACATGTGGTTAGAGATTTCATTTTAAGATTTAGGTGTGTCAAATAACATTTGTTGAAGATATCAGATCCTTTAAATGGATTTTAATATGTAGGTAAATTAGTTCCTAACTTTTAGCCGGAATATCCTTTGTTTAAAAAGAAAAATTATTGAAAGTTGATTGACACCATTTCTATTCATTAATATTTAATAGAGGATTTCTACTATACCCAATCATATTTGGGGGTTTTGGTCCGGTCGGTTGAATTTATGCCATGTCATCATTTTACATTTTAATACTAAAACTATTATATTTTCAATTGTCTCTAATTAATTGAATTAATTTTTACTTTAAGTTTAGGGGGATTAGGAACAATTTGAGTAGGGAATGGCGTGAATGAAGAAAGGAATCTTGTTTTCAATGGTACACTCAACATGAATAAGTTGATTAAACGACTTTCAAATGGTCAAAGCAAGAGAACGACTTTTTCATCATGGTAACTAAGAAGGCGCAATTGTGGTTTTAGATTCTGAGTAAGACAAGTTTGGAAGGTGCCAAGACTATGCTGTGAAGTGGTGCGGATTTGGAGAGCCTAGGAAAGATTGTGAGTGGAAGGTTTTCGATAGTGGTGCTCTTTGTGGGACTGTGGTTGAAGGTGAGGGAATGTGTGAAGAAGGCTTTCACGGAGTTTCTTGATTGATGGCCATTTTGGTTCTAGGAGTAGCACCTCGAGCGGTTGATCATGTTGGCGTGAGTCCGCATGATGCTTCCAAATAGAGTGCTCTGTTTGTTGAACTCAATAAACAGAGGCCTGTTTCAAAAATTAGAAATGTTGTTCGATTAATTATCAAGAATAGGAGGTGCCGTATTGAGTTGGTTCTTGAGCAATTCTTGCATGAATACAGTGGCTATAAGTACAAATATAAAAAAATGGTTGTTATGGGGCTTCTAGATATCTCCTATGATGTATGGACAAAATGCTATGGTAAATAAATGAGTTCCTTGGGAACAGATGCAGACATGTAAGATTTTAACTAATCTATATGTTTACTCTTATGCCCGCTTTGTCATATAAATAATATGATATTTGAATATATTTTCTTGTGATAGGTTCTACCTGACTCAATGGAGCCGCTAAGAGTTGAAGTTATAAAATATAGGGGATTCTTCACTCTGTCATAGTAGTACTGGATAAGTTTTGAGGCTTTGATTGCATATACATTACTTTTCAACTTTGGCTACATCCTCTCTCTCTCTCATACATAAATCGTGAGTGTTTTCAACTCAATGTACAATAAACCAACTAAGGTAAACCTATGTATTAATTACACATTTAATTTTGCAGCACCTGGGAAGGATCAAGTTGTTATATTAAGGTGCTTTGCTCAAGGGGGCATTCAAATGGGTTGCGTCCCATCATAAGGGTATCCGCAAAGTCTTCCCATTAGTTTTATCAAACATAACATAATATGCACATATTCCTCAACAACAAGAGTTCTTTTATTAAATACTCAAAGTCTTTCAATGCAAAACATAGCTTAAAATGATTGTCTTATCAACTTTTGAATCAAATTTACCATTTTTTTTACCATTGTTTAAAACAAAATTCTTACATCCAAATACTTTGAAGCAAAATATATTAGGCTTTCTCCCTTTATAAAGTTTATAAGGAGTCTTTTTCAAAATAGGCCTAATTAATGTCTTACTCAAGACATGGCATGCAGTATTTATGGCATTAGTCTAAAATTATTTTAGCAAGTTATTTTCATTTAACATTATTTTTGCCAACTCTTTTAAAGACCTATTTTTCCTCTCCACAACTTCATTTTGTTGATAGGTTCTTAGAGCGGAAAAATTATGGTTAATGTCATGTTTTTCACAAAAGGTTTGGAATAAATCATTTTAGAATTCTTCTCTATAATTACTCCAAATAGAAGCAAGCTTAGTATTTTTCTCATTTTGAACAACTTTAATAAACTTCTTAAAAGCACCAAAAGTATCACTTTTTATGGCTAAGAATACAACCTAAGTAAATATAGAGAAATCATCAACCAACACAAGACCATAATAGTTTTCACGTATGCTCATGAATCAACCATCTTTTCTAACATTGGTGACACTCACTACACCTAGTTATTGGAGAAATGTTTGTCTTAGGAGAAAATAATATATATATATATATATATATAGGGAAGGGATCTTCTGTTGTGGAAAAAATAAAACAACTTGATACGCAACTCTGATAATCTTCTTTTGTGGCCACTATTCAAAGACAATTATAATTTTATATTTGTATTTTAACTTTTTACACTAATATATTTGAGGAGAAAATAATATATATATATATATATATATATATATATATATATATTTAAGACTACTAGGGTTTAGGTCACATGTTATTGAAAATTTTTGGTCTCATAAAAATAAGACTCCTAGGAAATGTTTTGGTCATTGCTCTTAAAACATACACTCTTTTGAGACCTTGTGTGACAAATGCAAAGCATTTGAGTAGAAAATCCATAGAATTGGTAGGTAAATGCATATTTTGTAGAGAATTGTATAGTAAGGTGGGGTAAGAAAATCACTACATCAGATTTCTAACCCATTACTTGAATAACTTGACCTAATAAAAAAGAATTAGTACAAGGGAGATCCAAAAAAAAAGTCATAAAAGTTAGAATAGATTAAAATCAATTGAGAAACCATTGAGTAGATGTTGTTCTTAGATGAAAAGTAATCAAAGTCTTTAACTTTGGTCTATTGCTTAAGGACAAGCAAATCTTTAAGTTTGGGGTTATTTCATGCATTGCATTTTATAGATTTTTAGGAAGTATTTTTACTTGATTTATTTACATAATTATTTTATCCTCTTTGTTGCATTGTTTATCTTTAATTGTTGAACCTATTACGCAAGGTGGTTTTTATGAATGCAAGTGTTAAAAATGTTTAAATATGAAGTAAAAAGAGGGAGAATTCCCGGATTACATGATTATTGGAGCATAAGGACCCATGCAAAAGCAAAACAGAGAGGTATCATGCACAAGGCAACAACTCACACGGGTGTTCCACACATTTTATGCCTGTGCCATTCACTGGAGAGCCCATTTATTTTCTGATGCCATATAGCCGTAAATCGCACAAGCATGCATATCAGTTGCACGCTCGTGCAAATTTTGTGTTTTCTTTGGTCTTTTGTGTAATTTTTTATTTTTGTTTTTCTTTCTCTCTTATGATTAGTTTTAGCACTTTAAATAGGAGATGAGTTGATGGATGTCATATTTTTTGCTCTACTTTCTACCTTCTAGACTTGAGGATTTTGAATCTCCCTCTTTCAACTCTTAGGTTTATTTTTTATGCTTTTGTTTTCTTAGGAAGAGCTACCATGAACAT